ATTTGCTCTGCTAGGTTTTTTTTTAAAGAAAAACATTTCTATTTGGAATTGTTTCTTCATATTGCAGGTGAAAAGATGCAATGAGCAAACCAAGCTATACAAACCTGCAAGCTACTTTGAAGGTCTAAAACAGTAACAGTTTGGCATGCAAATAATACTCAGCAACTTTAATTCCTGGTTTAATTGCAACAATTAATTTGAAAATATTTTCTGGATAGGACTGAAGACACCAATTTAACCACCAACTAGACATTCTCTGATGGTAAAGAATCCGCCTGCAATGTGGAAGAACTAGGTTCGATCCCCGGGTTGGGAAGATCTCCTGGGGAAGGGCATGGCAACCCACTCCAGTATCTCGTCTGGAGAACCCCCACAGACAGAGAAGCCTGGCGGGCTACACATAGGGTCGCAAAGAGTTGGACACGACTGAGTGACTAACACAGCACAGCACAGCAATTTTACTTTATTTTCCTTAGAATTAAATTTTAACCAATGTACTTTTAAAAGTAAAAAACTGAGCTAAATTAAAAATAGTGGTATAGTTTCCACTCTTTCGAGGTACCCATTTTAAAGATCTCTGTTCTACAAAGAATCAATGAACTAGAACCTTAACTGGTTTCAAATAACTTTAAGATTTTAAACAAAGCATTTTCTAACTGGAAATTTTTAGAGGCATGCAGACTGTAAGAACAATAGTGTAGATCTTCCAGAAAATATTTAGTTGAGGGACAATCAGAGGAGGGGCAGTAAGCTTTAAAAGCCACACATTTTCTGAACCTTCAAGTAAAGAGAAAATTCCTATCCTCCAGTGAAAGGTCAAGGGAATCAGGAAATGAGGAGAAGAACCATGTTGCCAAGTGTTACAAAGAACTGAGAAAAGTAATTAATGTCACTCAATTACAACTCCCATCATCCATGAGGAGCTGAAGTATTAAACTTCCTTTCTCAAAACAGTATAGACACAGTGGAATGTTATGCAGCCATTTAAATTATTATTCTTCCTATCTATTTTCATTTTCACAGTAAATTAAGATGTTCAAACATATAGATGAAAAAATTATGAAACAATGCCATAATTTCATTTTTATTTCAAAATAAAACAAAAAACATACATACATGTAGGTAGAAAAAAGTTTGAAAGGACATACACCAAAATGTGAATGACAGAAGTAACAGTGATAGGATTATGAGTGATTTTTATTTTCTTTGGTATACTTTTCTATATTGTCTAAATGTTTTCTGGTGAACACTGTCCATTTCAAAGAAGAAAAACAATAAAGCTATTTTCATTCCGGAGAAAATATTAGTGGGAATTTAATAGTTAAATCGCTTGGGAAACAGGATTCATTTTATCATAAACCTACCAGGATCCCTTTTACTGTAAAAAGACTTAAAATGTATTCTATAAATATACCATGGACTCTCATGAACAATGAAAGCACACCTTGCTTTATGACATATTTATGAAAATTCCTCTGAAAACTGAAGTTTTTAAGAGACATTAATACTTGAGTTGGCTACTTAAATCTTATTTCAAATTCTTCTGGATAAAAGAATGTCTACTCCCTAATTTATCTTGTGAAAATCCAGACTTTTTGCTTAAAGCAAGATTCACTCTACTTTTATTTATTCCTGAGAGAGAAATCCATCATGCTTTGATTTAGGAAACCAAGTGATCTGGAATTCTAATTACTGAAAATGAAACACTATCATTCATATACAGTCAACGTCTTACCTCTGTTTTCTGCATATTCACTACAGGTAAAATGTATCTAAGAATCTGTGACAGATGAAAACACAGGTCTTTTAAGTAATGACCAGCAAGAGCCATTGCAGATAGAAAGTTTTATTCAAGCTTTATCAAATGGACTGTTCAAAAAGCATATAGAAGTGCAAAAAATGTCACATGCAATCAAACTTGTTTTGCCTTTTATAGTCACTGGTTCTCTTTTGGAAAATAATACACAGTTGAGTAACTTCTAATTCAAACATTTCCCAATTGTTTCTATTTATTTCCTTCTTTAAGCAACAATACATACATTTTAAGTAACTGATCATCTTTCTTATCCTTATCCTACTGAAAAAAAAAATAAAGCCAATAAAATCAAACCATATACTGTCCAGAAATCTGAAAAGGTTCATTTATATAATAAATTCCCATACATAAGTCATATACAAATGATATTTTGCAAAATGGATAAAAATTAGAATAAGCAGTTTGAAAGTAAACATAAACAGTTATAATTTCTTATCTAAATAATTTTAATCAAATGAATAATATATTCATCTGATAATAGCCTCTATCTTTCAGAATACAAAAGAAAAGTGCTCAGATTACATTTAAAAAAATAAGATAAAGGTCTCACAGAACTGAAATAATTTAAATAAAGATGGTGTCATGGAGAATCTATTACATTTTTGTTCCCAAGACAGGGAGGCAGGTGTTAAGTTTAATCTGAAACCAGAAACAGACTACAACATGAAGACTGCAATTGCAAAGCTTCTAGCCTTGAGAAGATATAAACTGTCTTGGCAATGTCCTCACGTGCCCATCTTTAGAAGTAAGCCATTAACATAAAATCAGACTCCTCAGCTGGACTGTCAACTGACCAAGTCAAGTCACTTTTCTTGACTGTACTTTCCTAGCCCACTAACAACATTACTCAGTGAGGGCTCCAAAGAACAAATAATTGTCTTTTGAAGATACTTTGTTCATTAGGATTGATACAGTACCTACTCTCAAAAACAACAACACAAGAATAGAATATAGCAACCCAGTAGTAGAGTCTTCACTCTCTCTGGAGCTTCACTGCAGCCAACCTAGAAGGCCACCCTCAGGGTTAGCACCCCATTCCTAGGTAGGGGCTGAATTCTGCAGGAAGAAGCCTGAGTCATGGTAAAAAGTAAGATTCAAGCTTTCTCTTCATTTGGTACTCGAGTTGTGATCTTAATGAATTCCACTCTACATGCTAATCACTACAATAAGAGTAGTATAACACGCCTGATGACATCACACCAGACATTCCAAAGCCAAGGGTACCAGCTGTGCACTTACTATGTACTTTAACACTGAGATTGCTTAAAGTATTTCTAAAGTCCTATTTTGATATTTCTTTCAACTCAGTAAGATTTCAGATCACTCTTACTTTCTTATGTATGCTTTTCTTCAAGTTTACTTGCTTCAGAGTATCCTTTTCATAAATGAAAAAAGCTAACTTCACTTTGGAGGGAAATTTTTTTTTAAAATGTTCTATAGATTTTGAAGGCAGTTCTAAGTAAGAGCCTATCAAATGCTCTTGGGAGGGCAAATGCTTTTGAAGGGCAAAATTCCAGAGTATGCAAAATCCACATCATCACTACTCTGTCCCCCATTAGCTAAGCACCTGCCCTTGGTAGGTGTTACGCACACACACACATTTTCTGTGTGAGTGAATAAATACAATTTATTTGGATCTAGAACTTCTAGACATTCGATTTTTAAAATCATTCTCTTGGGATCCTTCTTTTTAGTCTAGCTAGCTGGAATTATTTTCTAATATTTTATATCTCAACTCAGTGCATTTAGGAGAGAAGTTTAAAATCAAGCCACTAAGTTTAATAAAATGGCTTTTTTAAAGAAAGATCAGTAGAAAATGGGAAAACGGAAAAAACAGGAAATGAAAAGGACTCAGTGGCCAGGCCTGTGGCAGCAGATGGTGGCCAGCTGCAAAGACGCACAGGAGAGTAAGCTCCTCCGTCCACCCGTCACCGTCTGCAGCGCGGCTCAACTACGAGGGGACGTGCCTGCTCCCTCCCTGCCTCCTGGCACCGTGCCTACCACCTTTAAGGTGGGGGACAAGGGACTGCTGACCGAGTGAAGGGCCAGAGAGACCAAACAGAGGGACACAGGGCCCACCTCTGCTCAGATTACTACGTGTGGCATCTCCTCTCTGACTTCCAAATCAAAGAGCAGGAAGCGGGTGCTTTCACCTCCTGCCCTGAAACAGAGTTCACAATGCGTCTTATGTCACTAAATGTGATGTGTAGCATAGCTATAAAAGTAGTCAGAGAGAAACTAATTTTTAACCAATAACCAAAGACCAGTGTCCTGAGTTCTAAGAAAATAAAAACTAGTGTATATGTATCTTTGAAGGGGCTTAGGTCAAGGCAGGAGGCACCAATTTTCTAAAAACAACCTCTTACTTGTTAGATTTTGAGAAATAAAGCAGGCTACCCCAGTCTGGACAATATATAACTAGGGCAATCACATATTTTATTGTCCAAACAGGGATATTTTGCAGAGTAACAAGGAACATGAGAAATAATTATTCTAGGAAAAATAATCGCGCCAAGACAGCAGACAAGAATGAGACTGTCCTGGGTAAACAGACATTCGATGTTAACACAACATCCTTTTCTGTAAGTTTGTACTGTTTCCTTTTCTCAAGTTTTCTGTGAAACTACGTAATGTAACATTCAGCAGTAAAGTGATATTGAACACTGAACAGCATCCCAGTCCTGATCCCTTGAGAAGACGTTTTCTAAGTGACCAAACAGAATTCCCACCTTCTTCCCCACACTTGAGGTTTTTTCAGCAGAAACTGATGGTTTAAGTGGATCTGAAGAAAAAGTCTGTTTTAATTTCTCTAACAGAACAAAAAAAAGTACAACTGTGATTTAAATTACTTAAGGTTCACTTATACATTTTTACCTCCCAAAATATTAACAAGAGAAGTTAATCGTCTCTTGTTCATGAAGCAGACTTCTGAAACAATCAACCCCAATTATGAGTCGATGTCATAACACAGTTTTAAAATCTTTGTCATTAACCATGAGATTTTCACAAATACATATGCCACAAAATATTTTAGAAAAGCTACGTAGCCATCAAAATTAGAAAGTCGAACCTGGGGAGGGTCACCGAGTCTCCCCCTAGTGATGAACTCGCACCGTGGCACGCGTCAGCAGGGCAGCGCAGGAGCGCCCAAGGGCCCAGGGGGCGGGAGAGGCCGACGGGCTGATCAGTTTCGGAACAGCAGCATCCGCTCGGAGCACACCTGCCCCACCAGCCTCGCGTACTGCAGCACAGCCGCCTCCTCGCTCGGGTCTCTCTGCTGCTTCTTGTAAACACCGTAAGGCATTATGGCTTTCTTGTAGAACACCTGCAGGCGGTCAGGTTCCTTGCTGCGACCTTCGTCTACTGCAAGAACAAAAACTACTGATTAAATACAGTCACCTATCGGACCACTTTTCACGTTCTAATTTAAGAGTACTGAAGTATATATAAATCATGTATTAAGATGTCCTCTCTGCGCGGTATGTTCAAACGAGGGTGTGCACTATTCAGATCAACGTGAGTATGTTAATGAATAACAAATGCGTTGCTTTTGTTGTTGCTGTCGTTCAGTCACTCAGTCGTGTCCGACTCTGCGACCCCATGGACTGCAGCACGCCAGGCTTCTTGTCCTTCACCATCTCCCGGACTTTTTTTTAAATTCATGTCCATTGAGTCTGTGATGCCATCCAAACATTAAGGACAGGCAAGGAATTGTATGCAATTCAAAAAGTGGCCTTCAATCTCTTATTATTTTCTTATACATAATGAAGTTTGCAGCTTTCCAGCACCTTTCCTAAATCTGATTTAAATTTATTTTGCTTCTCCTCAAGTCAACATATATCTTTGCAGTGTGGCCTTCTGCTGACTCAGCAGTTTGGGCTGACTTAAACTGGTCAGGTTGGGGCAATGAGCACTCATATTGTGGGCAAGAGGGCAGATGCTTACAGCTTTCACGGAGATGGCCACTATCAGTTCTCCTCTTCTTCCATATAGAAGCACTCTTGGTTTTCAGCAGAGCAGACTGTGTCCCAGCTTCTCTTGCAGCCGGGTATGGTTTTGTGACTAAGTTCTGGCCCATAACACACAAGCAGACGGTCTAATAGGTCAGCTGGTCCAGACCTTTTGCCTCTTGCATTTTTCAGCCCTTCCTTCATTCTGCCTCTTGGAGTAAGAATGTCATGGTAGGAGCTCTAACCTCTATCTTGAGCTTGAGGTTAAGAGCTTTCCCTTAGTCTGGCAAAAACAAAATCTAGAAGGAACCTGGGTAACTGAGAACTTTGTGGAATAAAACAGCCATTCCAGCCCTGGACTGCTTCTGTGTAGAATTTTACATTAAAACAGAACTAAGCTATCTTATTTAAGACAAATTATTTTGAGTTTCTATTATTGGCAGTTGCTCCTAAGCCTAATACAGAAAACAGTGTTACAGTTATCTCAAAGATGTATGTTTGTTTTTGTTTTTAATAAAATCACTGACTCAGCAAGACCAGTTCTCAGAATCATTTTAAGGCTGACTAAACATCAGAACCATCTAAAGAGTTGTTTTTTTTTTTTTTAATGAATCCTATCCTCAGAGATCTTGATATGAAAACTGATCGGAATGAACCTGCACATCAGTGTTTTCTTAAGCCTGAAAGGAAGACTGAGAACCACTCTTCTAGAAAAACACACACACACCAGTGTTTATGTATGTGTTTTGGTCAACTCAATATAAGGATATTTACAGCAATACTATCACATTGAAAAACTGGAAACAACACAGATGTCCATCAGTGGAGAACTGGTTAAACATGTTAACTTATATCCACACGGTAAAATGTTTTATGGCTATTAAAAAGGCAGAAGAAGATAGTTACGTAAAAAAAAAACAAAGACAGGTTCAAAATAAACAACTCTTGTTTTTATGAAAAGCCTAGTATATGCATAGAAAAAACCTGGACAAACACACGTCAACCTGTTAACAGTGAAAGTGAAGTCGCTCAGTCATGTCCGACTCTTTGCAACCCTATGGATTGTAGCCCACGGAATCTTCCAGGCAAGAGCACTGGAGTGGGTTGACATTTCCTTCTCCAGGGGATCTTCCTGACCCAGGGATCAAACCCGGGTCTCCCGCACTGCAGGCAGAGGTTTTACCTCTGAGCCACCACGGAAGCATAGAAAAAATCTAGACAAACACACGTCAACCTGTTAACAGTACTTATCTCTAACTATTCCCTTTGCCTAGAACCACCCTGGCTTCTACTATCACCCTCCCTGAGTCCAGGCCCCTTTTTCTCTTCAGCCCAGGGGTGGCAGTGGTTTCCTGCTACTGCTATTCTCTGGATCAACTATCTGCGCTTTGCTTGGCTCTCAGCAATACCACTGCCTGTTATCACCAGAATCCTGAATTAAATGTTCTCTGTTGTAAAATTCTTGAAGTGGCTCCTGGCTGGACACACCACCATCAGAGTATGTGCTTTTTCTTACAAACATCCAACTGAAGCAGAAAACCCACATACTTTAAGCCAACTAAACATTTAACATTTACTAGGTTGCCGCATCCTTTAGCAGGGTAAATGATAAGCAAAGGAAAAGGCAGGAACCTGGTTCCTGCTGTCCATTTCATAGAGGTTAAAGTACATGGATTGCAATACAGGAATCTCTATCACCCAGCAACAGATGCCACTTGCACGGAAAGATTAGATTCAAACATGGTTAGTATGCTTAGTCGTGTCTGACTTTTTGTGGCCCCATGGACTGTAGCTTGCCAGGTTCCTTTGCCCAGGGTATTTTCTGGGCAAGAATACTGGAGTGGGTTGTCATTCCCTCCTCCAGGGGATCTTCCTGACCCCAGGGATCGAGCCCAAGTTTCTTGACTCTCATGCATCAGCAGGCAGATTCTTTACCACTAGTGCCAGCTGGGAAGCCCCCAAGTATGCTTAGAAACTAATACAAATGGAAAACTAGTAAAGATAAGTAAGAACAGCAAAGGAGAGAAGAACACTGACAAAACTGCACAAAATCTTCTAAATCTAAAACCTTCAATTTTTCAAATGGAATTTTAAAGCATGTTTATATTTAATGATGTAGAATGATGTTTAACAGTTTAAACCTTTATCCTAAAACATCTTAAGACAGACATCTTTTAAGATTCAAATGAATGGAACACACTAACAAATAAGAACTTAAAAGTTTGACATGCCATTATCTTATTTTATCTAAAATGAAATGCTGCCCTCTAATTTTTATCCTTTTCCAATTTGACATATAAAAATGAAAACAGAAGATTAGGAAAAACCCACCATTATGTATAATTTACATCAGCTATTTTAAAGTGCACATACCTAGAGAACAGGAAATTTTGTATTGTTTCATTTGTCAAAAATATATTTCATTTCTATTTACTAAGATTACAAGGAAAGCTTTAAGATTATATGCATATCAGATTTTGGTGAAAACACTATGATATAGAAGTTTTAACCACTGAATTCCAAACAGTCCTGTGATGCTGCTGAATCTATTTTTAATTTATATATCTAATTTAACTTCATTGCTGTTGTTCAATCGCTCAGTTGTGTCCGACTCTTTGTGACCCCATGGATGACAGCATACCAGGCTTCCCTGTCCTTCACCATCTCCCAGAGCTTGCTCAAACTCATGTCCATTGAGTTGGTGACGCCATCCAACCATCTCGTCCTCTGTTGTCCCCTTCTCCTCCTGTCTTCAATCTTTCCCAGCATCAGAGTCTTTTCCAGTGAAAAGCTTCAGCTTCATGATGCCCATCCAGTGAATATTCAGGGTTGATTTTTCTTTAGGATTGACTCATCTCCTTGCATTCCAAGGAACTCTCAAGAGGCTTCTCCAACACCAGAGTTCGAAAGCATCACTTCTTCAGTACTCAGCCTTCTTATGGCCCAGGTCTCACATTCATACATGACTACTGGAAAACCCATAGCTTTGACGAGACAGACCGTTGTCAGCAAAGTAATATCTCTGCTTTGTAATATGCTGTCTAGGTTGATCACAGCTTTTTTTCCAAGGAACAAGCGTCTTTTAATTTCATGGCTATAGTCACCATCTGCAGTGATTTTGGAGCCCAAGAAAATTAAGTTTGTCACAGTTTCCATTGCTTCCCCATCTATATGAAATGAAATGATGGGACTGGATGCCACAATCTTAGTTTTCTGAAAGATGAGTTTTAAGCCAGCTTTTCACTCTCCTCTTTCACCTCCATCAAGACTTCTAAATTAATTTATAGCATTTTGGAGATCCCTACAGCATAGAAATCAAATTCAATAGTTCTTTTTATTCCAAATACTTTTGAGGCCGCTGTTCTGGATTAAAGCAGTCAAATGCTCAAGATACTTAAAAAGTAGGTATTAACTAGATATTGCCCTTTTTAACATCCTATATAATTACCACAAAAAGTGGTAATCATGAATTTTAAAATCCTCTCCTAATTCCCTTCAATGTTAATATAGCCAAGCCGCTGGAGATGCAAATATATTTGACCTCAGTGCTCAAACAACTTCCGAAGTTCATGGCATTGTGGTTACTGTTATTGTTGTTGCCTAATATCCCAAATGCTGTATTCCTGATGCTCTATCAATGATTCACCAGAAATAATGAGACTTAATTGAAACTCTTTATAAATTTACTGAAATACAAATTAGTTTTCTTAATTGTCCTAAATTCTTTAATTTTCTCATCATACGTTGACTGTAAAAAAGGCACAAAACATACACATAAAAAGTAGCACTAAGGTGTCTCTTTCTCTACCTAAAAAAAGCAACTTAGACTGCAACTCAAATTTAGTATGTAAGCTTGGAATTCTATCTACCCAATGGTGCCAAAATATCAACCTAACACTGCCAGTAGTTCTGAAACAGAGATCAACAAGACACACAGTAAGAGAAACAAAGAAATGATACTTTATGAATATTTTAAAGCCTGATACTTCAGTAACTTGAGCAAGCTCCAGGAGTTGGTGAAGGACAGGGAAGCCTGGTGTGCTGCAGTCGACAGGGTGGCAAAGAGTTGGACACAACTGAGTGACTAAACTGATTGATTTCAGTAACTTGAAGTAATTTGACATTTTCTAGGAATTAGCCATCAATGAAATTACAGAATATTCAATAAATGCACATTAATTTCTTATTTTGTATCTTTTTAATTCGTGAAAACAATGCTTTTTTAGGAACTCGAGTAATACAGAAACAGAGTGATGTCAGCTCTCATATACAATCCTTTCTCCCCTTTGCATCAGTAAATTATCAATGTGTAACAATCCCAAGAGCTGCATTTAAATACTTAAATACAGATTGGGGGGGGGGTGTCACATTGTAGTCACATCTTGTATTAAGGCCAGGAAATCAGATCAAATA